AGGATACAGGGTGTGAAGTGAACCTACAGTCTGATACGGTGTGTGATGAGGAGACAGGGTGTGAAGTGAACCTACAGTCTGATACGGTGTGTGATGAGGAGACAGGATACTGCAGCCTGAAGCTTCTCACCTCGAGTGAAGCGTAAACCTCTCCCAGAGAACTCCTCCTTCAGAGCAGCAACAAACTTCTCCCGGATCTTCTCCCTCTGTGGACGAGCAGAAAGGTGTGAACAGGTGTGATCAGGTTGCTTCACATCGACTCGCTCATGTTTCAGGTGTTACCTTGTCGATTTCAGAGAATTCGATTCGCTCCTCTCGTGTACAGCTCCGACCAATGGGAGAGATGTTCAGCATGCCGTTCCTGAACTCGATGAAGGTCCCCCTTCAGGTGGAGACATGGAGGAGGGTTACTGTGTGTGTGTGTGTTACTGTGTGTGTGTGTGTGTGTGTGTGTGTGTGTGTGTGTGTGTTACTGTGTGTGTGTGTTCCTGTGTGTGTGTGTGTGTGTGTTACTGTGTGTGTGTTACTGTGTTACTGTGTGTGTGTATGTGTTACTGTGTGTGTGTGTGTGTGTGTGTGTTACTGTGTTACTGTGTGTGTGTGTTACTGTGTGTGTGTGTGTGTGTTACTGTGTGTGTGTGTGTGTGTGTGTGTGGTTACTGTGTGTGTTACTGTGTGTGTGTGTGTGTGTGTTACTGTGTTACTCTGTGTGTGTGTGTGTTATTGTGTTACTGTGTGTGTGTGTGTGTTACTGTGTGTGTGTGTGTTTGTGTTACTGTGTGTGTGTTACTGTGTGTGTGTGTGTGTTTACTGTGTGTGTGTGTGTGTGTTACTGTGTCACTGTGTGTGTGTATGTGTTACTGTGTGTGTGTGTGTGTGTGTGTTACTGTGTGTGTGTTACTGTGTGACTGTGTGTGTGTGTGTTACTGTGTGTGTGTGTGTGTGTGTGTGTGTGTGTGTGTTACTGTGTTACTGTGTGTGTGTGTGTGTGTGTGTGTGTGTATGTTACTGTGTTACTGTGTGTGTGTGTGTGTGTTACTGTGGGTGTGTTACTGTGTGTGTGTGTGTGTGTGTGTGTGTGTGTGTGTGTGTGTGTGTGTGTGTGTGTGTGTGTGTGTGTGTGTGTGTTCTGTATGTGTGTGTGTGTGTGTGTGTTACTGTGTGTGTGTGTGTGTTTGTGCTACTGTGTTACTGTGTTACTGTGTGTGTGTGTGTGTTACTGTGTTACTGTGTGTGTGTGTGTGTTACTGTGTACTGTGTGTGTGTGTGTGTGTGTGTGTGTGTGTGTGTTTTTGTTACTGTGTGTGTGTGTGTGTGTTTTTGTTACTGTGTGTGTTGTGTGTGTTACTGTGGTGTGTGGTGTGTGTGTGTGTGGTGTGTGTGTGTGTGTGTGTGTGTGTTACTGTGTCACTGTGTGTGTGTATGTGTTACTGTGTGTGTGTGTGTGTGTGTATGTGTGTTACTGTGTGTGTGACTGTGTGACTGTGTGTGTGTGTGTGTGTTACTGTGTTACTGTGTGTGTGTTACTGTGTGTGTGTTATTGTGTTACTGTGTGTGTGTGTATGTGTTACTGTGTGTGTGTGTGTGTGTGTGTGTGTGCTACTGTGTTACTGTGTGTGTGTGTTGCTGTGTTACTGTGTGTGTGTGTGTGTGTGTTGTTACTGTGTTACTGTGTGTGTGTGTGTGTGTGTGTTGTTACTGTGTGTGTGTTACTGTGTTACTGTGTGTGTGTGTGTGTGTGTGTGTTTTTGTTACTGTGTGTGTGTTACTGTGTTACTTTGTGTGTGTGTGTGTTTTTGTTACTGTGTGTGTGTTACTGTGTTACTTTGTGTGTGTGTGTGTGTTTTTGTTACTGTGTGTGTGTGTGTGTGTGGTGTGTGTGTGTGTACTGTGTGTGTGTTACTGTGTGTGTTTTTGTTACTGTGTGTGTGTGTGTGTATGTGTTACTGTGTGTGTGTGTGTGTGTGTGTTACTGTGTTACTGTGTGTGTGTGTGTGTTACTGTGTGTGTGTGTGTGTGTGTGTGTGTGTGTGTGTTATTGTGTGTGTGTGTGTGTGTGTGTGTGTGTGTTGTGTGTTACTGTGTGTGTGTTACTGTGTTACTGTGTGTGTTTTTGTTACTGTGTGTGTGTGTGTGTGTGTTACTGTGTGTGTGTGTGTGTTACTGTGTCACTGTGTGTGTGTATGTGTTACTGTGTGTGTGTGTGTGTTTGTGTTACTGTGTGTGTGTGTGTGTTACTGTGTTACTGTGTGTGTGTGTGTGTGTGTGTGTGTGTGTGTGTGTGTGTGTGTGTGTGTGTGTGTGTGTGTTACTGTGTGTGTGTGTGTGTTGTGTGTGTTACTGTGTGTGTGTGTGTTACTGTGTTACTGTGTGTGTGTGTGTTACTGTGTTACTGTGTGTGTGTGTGTGTGTGTGTTACTGTGTTACTGTGTGTGTGTGTGTGTGTGTGTTGTGTGTGTCTGTGTGTGTTACTGTGTGTGTGTGTGTTACTGTGTGTGTGTGCGTTACTGTGTGTGTGTGTGTGTGTGTGCTACTGTGTTACTGTGTGTGTGTCGGTCCTCAGGGTGTTACATCATTGAGTATTTGGTTTAGTTGACCTCTGACCTTTTCTTCGGCAGCTTGATGAGTCCCATGTAACTGAGACAGAAGTTGATGAGCTCTTGCAGAAGCTCCTCCCCGATCTGGTTCTGAATCGCCTGATTGGTCCAAACACAGGTCACGTTAACGACATCATTTTATAACCCATGTCTTCCTGTCTCCTCCCTGCCTCCTTCCTGCCTCCTCCCTGCCTCCTCCCTG